GGGGTGTCTGCTGAGTAAGGAACACTTTTTAAGATTCTAAAGCTGAATTCAAATGATGCATTAATGATCCGGAAACTCAGATATGATCAAGTCTGAATTTCTAACTGTCTTTGCTTTGTGGGTATGCTGACAACTTATTTGGGTGCCTTACATCTTTTCTAATCAGTGTTGCATATGAGCCTGCTCTCACTCCCTCCTTACTCCCTCTATGGGGTTCCTTTGTACCTAACAGCCTACAGAAGTGGCTGGTATAAAAGGGGACCTGGCTGGAGAATTATTATACAGCTATTTGCAGGATTCCCTTCTGGGCTTCATTTTGGAAACTTTTCTTAGGGCTGTGTGTATTAAAGTGCCCACATTTGATGGAGGGTGGAAGTAATTTGAATGTATTTGATTTATAAATCTTTTAGATTAAAAGGTGGTTATAGCATTTTAAAATGGAAACTTTTTCTCCTTGATTTGCTAGTATCCTGAGTGTATTCTCTATAAGTGTAGCTCGAATGGGTCAGCATGAAAAGTTAAAGAAAGCAAGATGTCAATGCTATGCAGGTGGTTAAGGCCAAGGCCTCTTCTACCACTGTGCCACTGACTTGCTATATGACCTGGGGCAAGTCACTTAACTATAATGTGCCTCAGTTTTCCTTCTGTTAAAATGGGGATAATAATACTGACCTACCTCAAAGGGCAGTTTTGAGGCGTGACTAATGCTTTTTATAAAGCATTTTGGGATCTTTCAGCAGAGGAATTCTCTTAAGTCCTGACTATTTTTATAGTAGCAGTATCCACCATGAATTTGTGTCCACCATGAACCATGTGTCCCAGATACTATCATTAATCTATAGAGTTCTCTCTGAGAGATTGAATAAATCCAATGGATAAGTGGTGGATAACTAGCCAGACAAAATTTGAGAATGCATAAACTCATTGCCATGGAAACATACACAGGATACCTTTTCCTTGATTGGGTGGGATTTTTCCTTTTTTATGTGGGATAGTAGTTATTTGTGACCCGAAAATAATTTTGGAATAATTTCTATTAATAACTCTGAAGCTAGTCATACTGATGAGATTGTGTTTGTTCATAATAAAAGTGAAGTGAATCCGATTGCACTGTGTCTGGGAGTTTTTTGGCTGTGATTCAAACTCTCCTGGGACTTATCTCTATGGTCCACCTTACTATCTAGGTCCTGTTCCTGTACCTTTAAGAGTAAAGTAGAAGTAAAAGCTACAATGATTGACTCACCCCAGTAACCCGCCCTGTCCTCCCGAAGGGTAACTTTAGGTTAAACTCAGCGTTGGCAGCAGGAAACCAAGAGTCTGTTACCATTAAACCAAGCACATTAACAACAGCTGACACTTTGGCCTTGGGGAAATGCCAAGTCTCTTGTGTCACATGGTCACATGGACCCAAGAGGAAGTTAGAAGGAGGAAAAGCACTCTCTGGGAAGGCAGTCTTTTACCTTGCAAGTTAGGCTGGGCCGTCCAGGTCATTTCTCCAAAACGTGGTCCCTCCTCAGAATAAAGTGGCTTCCTGGAAATGCTGACTAACAACAACAGGAAGGAAAGAAAAATAATCCAAGGGAAAGTTTGTCAATTCGCGGAATAGAGAGGGCTTCATGATCATAAGGCGGAAAAGGCTTTAGCTTTTACCATATCACCTGGGAATCCTCGGGTGAAAAGAAAAGGTGGGCTTTTACAATTTGAAGAAGCTCCATCTTCCAACAGGAATCACCTTAATAATTAATACCTAAGCTTCTAAGAGTTTCCTAGAACCATCCCCCCTCACCTTCTAATGTAAGGTTGCCCTTGCCTTGCACAGGAAGCAAGATTCTCACAGAGTAATTCTGCATATCCAAAATTAAGTGTACTCACCGAGGCCTTGCCGCACCTTAATAACCTAAGTTGATAGTGATATTTTCTTCATCAATTAATATCTGGCTTTCTACCCCTTTCCCTCTTGTTTAAAATGTTCAGGCTGTGCTTTTTTTTTTTATAAGTTCTATAAGTGCACTGTTCTTTCTAAGTCTCTGCTTTGTTTCCCATTAACTGGCATCTAAGTTAAACAATTTATCCTTACTAAGCTCTGCTACTTTCTTTTCACTTCCTCCTGTTTTACACCTGGCTATTTTCCCTCAGATTATTCATACTTCTGTGCTTCCTCCAGGTAATCTGTATATGTTTATTATTTAATCCTGGGGCTGTTTTTTTTTTTATTCCTATCTGCAAAAGTTCCAAGAAAGAAGAGAAAAGGGGAGAGTTCTTAGAACTTAATTACTTACTTAATATGTTCAGTCAGTTGAATTCAAGATTGAGAGAGAGAGGAAAGAAGTATGAGTTTATCTGTGAGGGTGAGTTGTAAAATAAGAGCACTTAGGGGCAAAATAAGGAACCCTTGTTTTTGACATGTTTTGTATAGGAAAATATAAAAAAGTTAAGGCTCTGTTTAATCAAGATTTAACTATAAGACAAAAGATAAAAAGTAATTTAAGAAAAGAATGAGGAAGAGCACAGAAATAAAATTCCTGATGCCCAATGGCCACTAGTTTTCTCCTTCCCCAGAGGAAAGACCATGACAGTCCCTAAAAAAAAAAAAAAAAATCTGCCAGAGCATAAGAAGAAATAAAATGCATCCAAATTGAAAAAGAATAAGTAAAACTATCTCTGTATGCAGATCTTGATCTTGTATATAAAAAAAGTCCTAAAGAGTCTACACCAAAAAATATTTTAGAAGCAATAAGTTAAGCAAGATTGCAGGATACGAAATAAATATACAAAAATCAATTGTATTTATATAAACGAGCAATGAATAATATGCAAATTAAGTTAAAAGGATTTCATTTTATAGCAGCATCAAAAAGAATAAGATAAATAGGAATCAATCTAACAAAAGAAGTGCATAAGAATAATAGATTATAAACTACAAAGTATTATTGAAATTAAGAAGACCTGGGTAATGGAAAGAAATCTCATGTTCATGTAAGTTGGTAATACTACTCAAAGATCTACAGATTCGAGGCAGTCCTTATCAAAATTCCAACTGCTTTTTTTTAATAGAAATTGACAGCTGTATTAAAATTCATATAGAAATTCAAGGGAACCGGGCTAGCCAAAACAAACTTGAAAAAGCACAAAGTTGGAGGACTCACATTTCCTGATTTCAAAATTACTTCAAAGGGTCAGTAATCAAGACAGTGTAGTGTTGGC